CTTCCTTCGAATCACTCAACTGAGTGTCAGAGTCCAGCTCATACAGTAGGCTAATTCACACCCTGATTGCCATCATTAACATCAGACATATGTACGCTTCACTGCTTGGAAGAAAAGACATCAAGAATGCCCAACTAGAACATAAATCATCTGATATATCAAGTGAAATGCAAGACATCATGTTCTTTCTTTACTACCTTGCGCCATTAGGTTAGTAAACGATGGGTTTAGGAACCAAAAACGCATCACGTACCTTTCATCCAGTCCACAACTTGACTGGGGCTCCATTTACTAACAGGTTCCATGACGAGAGCCATCGCGAAACTTTCTGTGGTTGCCCCCTTAACACTGCTGCGAGGCGCAGAAGATGTGGTTTAACGCAGCTCTGGGGCGCTCAGATCGATGGTCTTACGTTAAGCGCCTAGATTTGGCTCCCGGTTACGCGATTTCATCCCATCCAGATCTGCGCATCCAACGCGTCACACAGAACGACATCAAGCACATTCCTAACCCTTTACTCCTGCAAACTTAAGTGTTTCTTATTATCAACACCCATATCTAAGAGCCCGAATCTGCTCCCCGTTTCAGTTCAGATCCTGGCATAATGTGCCATGCTCAGCCGGGCCGCCAACAGTCGCGTCTTCATGCCATGCACCAACTGCAGTCTCTCCTGTTTCTCCCTTCCCCTCCCTTCGTTTTCTTCTCCTCTTTAGGGGTCTGTACCTTTCAGAGGTGGACTAGTGGGTATATAGAGTAAGACAGAGAGAAATGTGCGGCGTACCCACGGGGACTCAAGTGAACGTCGTTTCCAAAGGCAGCGGCGAGCGTTGATTCAATTGGGCGCGCGCTCCTCCTGTGGGTGGTGCGGCAAAGTGAATTTGACTCGCGCGCTCGGTTTATTTCCCACGAGGATAAAAGGCTTTCGGCCGTATTCATTTTAATGAGGACACGCTGGTTCGCCCTGCTTCAGAAACTCTTTAAAAGCAGTGCACGCAAAGTATTTGTCTGGAATATGTAATGATGCTCATAGAGGGGCTATATTTGCATGAGACTTGGCCACTTATGGGACTATATGTGGCTAATGTTATGGGGCCGGTTGCATAAAAGGTTTAGACTAGTCTTAAAAGTTAGTCATCTAATTTTGTTCTTTAAGACTGGTCAAAATTTGTAAAATTCAGTTACATAAAAACGTAGATTAGTCTAAGCTGAATTCAAAATATAAGATTACTGCTAACTGCTAGTTGGTCAAACTGGCTCTTAAGACATGGTCTTAACATAGAGGCTAAGTTTATGCAACTGGCCCATGGTCTAAACCAAAATGATGGAGGACTCTGATAGCGTAAACCATAAGAGTTACAGGAATAACTCAAAGATTCATAAATGGGAGGTCAATCGGTGCTAGTTGCCACACATTTCACTCTAGTGAATATTTCTCAGGGTAGGTTTATTTTTGAAAGTCAATTTCTGAAAGTCAAGAACATACCCTAAAGTCTTAAAACGCTATTAAATGGTTTTAATTTCCATGAGAATATGTGAAATATGCAGCTCATTTAACAAAACTTTGTTAAACTAGATGGGAAGTTGCCTCAACTGGAACCTTGCAAAACTGCAAAACCTAAAACTACTGTGGAACACAAAACAAGCAGTCATGAAACAGCAAAAACATTATTTTAACTATTGTTTTGGCCAGAAATGTTGGCCTTGACTCTAAAATGTAAAGAAAAATACCCTTGAATTTCAAAAGAAACACTAGGGTTTTTAGCATAACAATTAGGTAGAAAAACTTTGTTTATTGTGCTTTATTATTGCAGCCATGTCTAAAATAGAAAAACAACTTTCTTTGCCTTAGGAATTCTGTCTTAGACATCTTTAACTGGTTCACTGAAACACAAATATAATAAAGTACTTTGTCATAAGCATTTCTGTTTAAAAAAAGTTGAGAAAATATGTCATGTTTTGCCATATGATGCTGAACAAAACCTTTTTGAGTGTTTTCTACATAAATTGAAGTTGCCTAGCAAACTCATTCAACATGGACAGTTTCGGCAGTTCACCATCATCCCTGGCCTTCATGCTGGCTGCCTATTGATTGTGTTCCAACTCATCCTTACTTCAGAACCAGAGCAGATGGAGCCAGGAGGCTGGAGTCGGGCCCAGATCAGGCCCCAGTATGTCAGCATGAATCATACAACAGATTCTGTGGGACCTCACCATAGAGATTCAGTGATCAGTGGGCTCTGCCCCATAAACCTGCACTCTTAATCACACAGGGTGGAAAGAATCAGATCAGGAAAAAAGGAGCTGTCAGATTCATTTGCAGCACAGTCTGACTCATGGGCTTTTTAGCGCCTGATTTCATATTTGTCCCCTAAGTGTGCTCTTTTAGCAGAGCTGTGTGTGGCCGCAACTGCTTTTGAAACTGATCTTTGTCACAGTGTATGACATTTTAGTTCTATTCTCGCACATTTGGGATAGTGTGCCCCCTTCTGATCATACAGAGACATGAGCAAAATTTGCAGTCCTTTTCTAGCACTTTTAAGCAAAACAAAAAAGATTGATCTCACTTTTTATGTATGTTTTCTTTAATAGTATTGCCAGGCAGGTTTACTAATGTACTGTATATACGAGTTGTGATCTCGTAATAATCACATGCTTAGAATGAGATCTGGATATCATAGTTTTAGACACAACAGAAAAGCTTGTCCTTTGTTCTTGGACAAGTGCTATGAGAAGCAGGGAAAGCACTGCTTCCCGAGGTAATTGAATGTCAGATAGAAAGATTCTGTCAGCTCTGCTTCCTTATGCTGTTTTTGCTGTGCAAACAGGGTGGTAAACAAACACCTCCAGATGGATGGAGGGGGGACCGGCTTCAGAACGCATTGCTGCTTTTGAGTGGGAGGAACTAGAGTTTTTTTTATTTCCTGCTGGCCTAGATATTGTGGAGACGTTAAATTTATTCCCCAATCCATGCTGCTCCTACTCTATTCAAATGGCAAAAAAAGAGAGCGTTTGCTGTTTTGGAAAATGAAGTGGGTTAGCGGTGCTGTCTGACAGCTGCCACAGGGCTGCTTATCCCTAATAAACAAAGCTGGGTGGAATATGTTTGTGTGGCACCAAGATACCTGTGTGTCCTGAGAACAAGCTGAGAGGTTGCATACTTGTTCCCTTTAAGCCAGAGTTTCCTTTTGGAAGCATGTTGTTAAGGAATGGTCGGTATCTCTGTCATGCTGCCAGTTATTACAGAAATTTTCTCCACAGTTTGTAAGGAACAAACAAACAAATATGTTTTTACAAGAATAAAAATGTAAAATACATACTAAAAAAAAACATTACTCATGTTAACATGGCAGTATATAGGGACAGAAAGCTGTCCTTTTAATCACTAACAAATCAAAACTACATTAACAACAATTTGATTCATAAATAGGCAGATGAACAGAAAAATACATTGCAACTTAGCATACAAGTGTGCACAAACCCATAAATAAGTACAAACACTCCAAAATATATATTCCAAAAAAACATTGATATGTACTTTTGATGTTTTCATGTAGGTTAATGTTTTGTAGCTCTTTGATTGGAAAATGTGTTTACCTGCAGAGTGAGAGTCCTTCACAAGACTTTATACGTGCAGGTGTTGAACTTCAAGTCCTTATCGCTGGCAAACATTAGGATGATTTTGCAGGAATGTTTCTGATTGTAGATAAATATTCACTTAATCCATCATTCTGTTTGTTCTCTGTGTTATGAAGTATCGTGTTACTGTTTTATTAAGTCACAAAAAGAACTGCCCGAATGATTCGGACTGAATTGCGACCCAGTTTTTATGAACCAGTTAGGGTTTTGTTAACGCGCTCATCAATTCATGGGAACAAACTATCTAAAAAAGAGTGTTTCCTTCACGGACTGGGCATTGCAAGTTGAGATTCTAATCAGATTCCAGAAATTATGGGAAATGCGATTGATGATTAACATATTTACAAATATAAAATGTAAGAATTCGTAAATGTCCTTTAACAAAAAGATGAGCTTTACATTTCTGCTTTTAGTACATGATACTTTCTTACATTAGTGTTACTCAACTAAAGATTGATAGATCACTTTGGTTCAGTAGTCACAATGCATGTTTGATGAGCCTTCTTGAAGCTATTGGTCTCGCTGGTTTGAGCTTTTCTCTCTCTTTCTCTCGCTATAATAGCATAACCACTCTGCTGATGGATGGCCGTTTCCACAAAGCTAAACAAACACTCTCCAATAGAGCGATTGCAGGCCATTAAGCCATTCTATCAAGACCAATGGACAAATGTCTAGAGGAGCTGGGGTCCCTGTGGTGGGGATGTAGATCTATTCTTCGGCCCCCCACTGTCAGCAACTTTGGATTAATCTCCAGTTTAGATTTCAGATCCAATCTCAAAGCCAATTTGTGTGGACCACAGTAACAAGGTTTTTAAGAGTCAATCGATCAAAGTTACTACCAACTTCCAGATAATTTTCCAGACATGACAGAGCACCGAGTTATTTTCACTTAATAACTCACAGCATGTGGACTATTAATTATTCATTTCACAACTTCAGCAAGGGTTGAGCTGGAGGCAAGGGCCTTGGACTGTAATGGCGAGAAAATCCTAATTTCATCTAAATGGGGGCAAATACACTCTAGAGAGGACAGTGTGGCCTCCTATCTGAGGCTTGGTCTTTTCTGCAAAAAAAAAATAATGACAGTCTGAGTTTACTAGAGCCTCCAAGCAGTGGCTTAAATAACAAGATTGTGTGTGTACTGATAGGGAGAGAGTGCTAAATTGGACTATTTGTGCAAGTCAAGGACAGTCTCCTTTTTTTTTTTTTTTCTTCACATGGCAGACAAAAATTAAGCAAAAAATCCCATTGACTTGCATTAAAGTGGGGGAAAAATATAAAGGTGGGCTCTTTTGACTGGGGACAGTAAGTGACCCCCTAGCAACCACCCAATGCACCCTAGCAACCATATAGCAACACCCTGGCAACAACCACAAACCCTTGTATCATGACAGTGACATTTGCATGGGTAGGTTTGCACACAAAATCAAGTTTTCTCCATTTCAAACCTGTTTTTACCGTGTCTGCTTCTCTGTGTTTCCACCACCAAGGAAGATTTATGTACTTTAATGACAGGATGTATTTTAGACCTAAAGATTGAATGAATCAACTATGGTCTATTACACTATGCATAATCAAACCTCTATATTTTTCACTCCAGTGGCTTTTCTCCTTCTCCTGTCCCTGTGGTGCTGTATAATAGCTCAAGTACTTCAATAACACACCAGTGAACAGATTTTGAGTGCAATACTACACCCTAGTGGTGAAACATTGCAGTGCAGTATTTATGATTTATTTATATAATTGCATAACAGACTTTCAAGCTGGTTTGTGAGCTGTTCCATTTATAACTGTATGTTTATAATTTAAAATAGTGGGTTCTACTTTCCTTGCATGTCCATGATCCTCTCAATGGATTAGGTTGTTTCTGTTCTGAACATGTCCCAGTGAGATTGTTCTGCAGTAACAACACAGCAAAAATGGCTGTGGAAAAACTTTGATTACCCACTGAAACAACAATTACACCCAGGAGGAAAAGACAAGAATTATTATTTTATTCCCCTTCTCACAGCAGAAGAGGTTCATTTGGCACACTTATTAAACCACATACATAATATAAGTAATCAAGCCTGCATAAGCCTAAATGGAGAGTAATTTATATTCATGCTTTGCATTGCTGTCAGAATATCCTTTATGATATTTCACAGAGCGCTGGGGCTATTATTCATTATTCATCTAGCACACTGGTGTGGTGTACAGAGGTCATGAAAAGCGCTTGTTTTCTTCTGTATAGGTGAAAGTGTCTCCCTGGAAGGGCAGCGCTGGTGGCTGGTTGTAGATGCCCATCAGGAAGATGCAGATGGTTCCTAACGTCATAACTGGAGTGACCACATAGAAGCAGAGTCGGTCCACTGTCCTGGCAATCCCACTCCAGTTGTCCTTTTCCTGAAGTAGAAACATGTGTTAAGCTTGTGGGAAAAAATGTATATTTATATTTAAAAAATAAATAAATAATTCAATAAATTTTTCACACAGCACCATCTAGTTATGGTCATGTTGTGCATGTGCTTAATGTAATTAAATTAATCATTAAAATAAATGGATTAAGAATTTATTAAATTAATAATTAAGTTAATTAAAATATAATTTTATAAGATAAATTCATAGTGGAAACTAATATTTATATGTATTTCTTTATATATGCAGTCTACTCTATCATTATTAAAATATGATAATATTTAGAATTTGATTTAATTTATACAATAAATAATAATAGAATAAAAGTATAACATATATTACATAATATATCATTATATTAATATAATATATTAATATATTAAAGGATCCAAACAAAATGAACAAACAAACAAAAAAGATAAAAAAAAAACATCACTACAAATGATTCAGAAATACTAGATGCAACTATTATTTTTGTTATTTTATTTTTGTTTTGTGATACCTTAATTACTATGAAACCCTGCTGTATCAAATATTCTTAACACATTTTGTCTAAAGGTTTAAAAGTCTGTTTGGTTAAAAACAACAACCACACTTTTTATGAATTATTTTATATGTCAAGCTTTACAGGGTTAAAAGAGGAAATCATCTCCTGCAAAGTTGGATTTAATTGTCTTCTTACCTCATTATAGTCATTTTTGTCGTGCATGTGCTTAACGATGTAATTGGCTCCTTCCACCGCTGGCTTCATCTCGTTGTACAGCTGTTCCGACACCTCTGAGTCATTACTGGATGTGTAGGCTGTGAAGAATTTACTCTTTAAATGGTATTAAACGGTGATAACACTTGTGCCGAGTTCACACTGCACGATTTTAGCCCGATTTTTCACTCGCCGACAGGTTTTGCGAAATCGCCGACAAATGCCCGAAATCGGAGGCAAATCGGTGCTCGTTCACGCGAGTGACAATCACGCAGTGTGAATTATCAAAGACGCGATTTGAGGGAATCGCCGACACGTCGCCGACGCCCGCGAAATATTTGGCATGCTAAATATCTGGACAATCACGCAGTGTGCAATGAGTTTTGACTGAAAAACACATCGGCGATGACCTACAGCCATGCAGTTTGAATCCCCCTGTCGCCGATCCATCGTGCAGTGTGACCACAGCAGTAACTGAATGCTACCCCAGATAGTCACGCAGTGTGAAACCAACGGCGATCCGATGAGTTTGAAAATCGTGCAGTGTGAACTCGGCATTACTTAAATATCATCATAATGTGAGTTTAAAATGTCATGCTGATCATGTGGGACTGACTAGCTTTGGGAGTGGGGCGTGCAGCCATGCCATGCCTCTCAGACTGCTTCTCAAACATCAGTTCGCTGCGTGATTTAACACTATAGTACTCCTCGGCCTGGGCGATGTACCCCACTGAGCTGGAACGCCGCGGCAGCGCCCCCTCCAGGCTAGGTTTGTCATCGGATGGACGGGACATGCGGAGTAGACGAGGCAGTCGCTCCAAAAAGAACTGTAGCAGACAAGATGAGCAGTCTTTAAAGAAATAGTGCAAATGAAAATTTGCTAAAAAAGTAATCACCCTCAGACCATCCAAAATATAGCTGAATTTGTTTCTTTGTTAGAACAGATTTGGAGAAATGTAGCACTACATCACTTGCTCACCAATGGATCCTCTGCAGTGAATGGGTGCCATCTGAATGAGAGTCTAAACAGCTAAATATATAAAAATGATTTAAAAAAATCATAACAATCACAAAAGACTTCAATCCTTCACTATTGTGTAGTGGAGTATTGTGGAGTACTATAGTGTTAATGTCTTTAAGTAAAAAGCCGTGTGTTTGTCAGAAACAAATCCACATAGGATGCTTCGAGGGTGAGTAAAACACAAGCCAATTTTCATTTTTGGGTGAACTAATTAAGTTGTTTTAACTTTAAACTGTTGCTTCTGGCCAAAATCCCTAATAATGCTTTCTCCCATGAAAAAGTCCATGCCCTGTTGTCCTCTCACATCCAAATCCACTAACATTTTTTATAGAACTGTTTTGGACTGTTTTCGCTTGAAAATGGTGCTTAATCTGTGCATATCTCTCTCCTGATTCAGAAAACATTTTCACTGGAGAAAGCAGTATTATGGATATAGGACTTGTGTTTTGGCCGGAAGCAAAGAAGTTAAAAAGAAGTTGAATTTGTTTCTTACAAACACACAGCTTGTAGCTTTTCAACTGGATTTGTGTGGATCTCATATAGATTTTTATGATGTTTTTATCAGCTTGGACTCTCATTCTGATGGCAACCATTCACTGCAGAGGATCCATTGCTGAACAAGTGATGTAATTCTAATGTTTAATACATCTACATCTTGGACATCCTGAGGGTGAGTACATTTTCAACAAATTTTCATTGACGAATTGCTTTTGTTTCTCTTTTTAAGTTACTTTGGATAAAAGCATCTGCTGAATGCATAAATAAGTAAAAATAGATAAATGTAATCTTTAGCAAATCTCAGTACATTATAATGTGAGATCAAAATTCATCGAAAGTATTTAAATTACTTGATTTTGCTATTGTTAGTGTTTTATTTTTTATTTATTTAGACAAAATACTACAGAATGTTAATGGTGAACATGAAGTGAAAATAATTTTTAAAATTCTCTATGCATATGCTATGCAAATTTCTCCATGCATATGCTGCTACTATTACACACCATCAATAAAAAAGCAAAATTTTTGGACACAATAGTCTAAGTTGATTATGCATGAGATTATCAGCTTCACATGCAAAAAAACGTAATTATCGCACAGACAAGAGAGGTGCCTGACCTCTTTGGTCCATTCGGTCATGACATGGGTGCTGGGGGTCCGAAAATGCAAGTTGAGCACAATTACGCAATTCAGCACCACCACAGTGACCAGTACCATGATAAACATCAGATACCTGTCAAATTCAAAAAAATTAATTTTATTACTATTTTATTCATTTTATTACTATTTTACTGTTGCTAATAGATAAATAACTTCTTTAAAAAACACTGTGTATGTGTTTAAAATCAATACTTTAGTATCGTCAATAGCTTTGTGAATTTATTCTATATTAGTGATACTGAAACATTCTCATGCAATATATCTGATATTGGCATACTTCACAATTAAGGGAACTGCCATAGACGTCTCAGGCAGACGCTGTGAAATTAGCAGCAGAAACACAGACAGAGCCAGCAGCACAGAGATGGACAATGTCATCTTCTCACCACCTGAAACAGGAAAAAGATGTAATGACATACCGTTTTGTAACATATATGGATTTTAATATATGTAACAAACAAACATATATGTATTCTGATATATGTAACAAACATATTAACTGCTTCTTTCAATACCCTGTCATGGTATTTCTGTCATATTGTGACAATATGGGGTCTATGAGCTTTAAAGTGTAGTAAACGGCAGGATCACTCACTGTCTGCAGGCAGGTAGTAGACGAGAGAGGCCAGGAAAGAGATGAGCACGCAGGGAATGATGATGTTGACAACGTAGAACAGAGGTTTACGTCTAATGATGAGGTAAAAGGTGATATCCTGGTGCTTGTTGCTTTCCATTGGGATGTTTTTATAAATGTTTTTCCTGGCAGGCTTGTGAACAATTTCCCACTCACCATTTTCTGCAAGAAAGGAGACAGATAGATTGTGTATTTGGATGAAACAGCAGAAAAAGATACAAATCTTTCTGTCAGATCTCACCTGTGAATCCCTCAGGATCAATAATGATCCATTCCACCTTGTAGGACTTTGCATCCTCGTCCTGCTCCTCTTTCAGATGTAAGCTAATCTCTTTGGCATTGTAAGTTAATGAGCTGATAGAGACAGAATGAGTGTTGTGGGGGTCATTAAGCAATAAAATACATGAAGTAATTCATGTAGCGGGTAATAATATGTATAAACATACTACAAAATGTACCTAAACTTTAGTGAGCAGTTCTGCCAATCAAAAGGGAAGTAGTTGACGTTTATAGAGCAGGAGCTTCTAAATATAGCTGGAGGCAACCAGTACACATATCCACTGGGATAGATCAATACGTTGCAGTAATAGGCCACCTGGAACTGGGCATCATTGCTATTTTAAAGAACCATGAAATAAAAAATTAATGTAACTACTTTCATACAAAACATATATATCGAGGAATAAAACATGACGGAGAAAGATAGCCTACTTGTTTTCAAGAACAATCTCTGGTAACCACACCATACTTGGCGGCAGGCGCAGAACAGGAATGTTATCAAACTCTGTTTCATTCCACTCAAGTCTATAATCAGTCCAGCCCTTAAGAAAACAGGAGAGATATATATTAGTGAACACATATATTCTATATTAAATACTAAACAAAAAAGATATAAATAAAACAATACTTTAAGGAATTCATATAATGTACTTACATGCTCCATCCACACATTTGTTAGTAATGTTTCATCAACTTCTTTCTGTCATGGAAAAACATCTTTGTTAGACAGATTGGCACAGTATCAGACAATATTTATTTGACACTCTATATTACAGTATGAAACAGTCCATACTAATATTTCTGGTTTATAATATCTCCCCTGCTCTGTGTACAAAAACTGTTTACAGTGGCAATATTATGTACTCACCAAGGAAATCAGATTAGAAAGTGTCAGTGCCAGATAAATATCTACAGTATCATCTTTATTTTGGACCGGACGAAGCTCTTTGTTGTAGCCACGCTCCTTAAAAAGATAGTTGATGAGGCGTTCCTCTTCATTCCGGCCCCAACATTCTGCAAAACAGAACACATCTTCACCTTTCAGAAAGTTTGATCAAATATATGTATTTGGGTACCACATTTTTATGAAGAAAATAGCTATATGGATGTAGTACTCTTACAAAACAACAAAATTGTAGAGGTATGCTACTCTAAAAGTATTTTACATTGTCATCGTAAAAACATAATGATCATATTCTACTAATTCAATAACAATCTTTTATATAATGCCATCAGCATTCAGTCCTTAGTTAAAGTGCTATAACTTACCATTTAGTAGTTGTGTTACTATATAAGCATGAAAGAACAGCTGACAGATAGAGGATATTAAGCTATTAAATATTTATTTAGTTTGTCCTACCTTGGAGAAAGAAGAAAATCAAGGACACCGTCAACAGATGAAGAAAGCTTCTCATCATGTCATGCAGTTGTATGACTTCCTATCACTGTTTTTGTCGTGCCCATCCAGGGCTTTTCTGAACAGCTTTTCCCTTGACTGACACAGACAGATGTGGAATCAATCCGGAGAGGAAAAAAGCACACACATATTGTCCAATGTTGACTACCTGCACTAAAGAGACTGTAGGAGGTGCTCAACAATATTTAAGGGCCCAAAATGAGTGAGCGAAGTGGTCAAGAAATATATATGTCCTTTTCCCAACACTCGTTCTTATCTCAACCAAAAAGCCGACCCAAACCACCCCTCGTAAGCTGTGAGATGCCAACAGCACCGCTCTCCACTTTTGTCCAAATGGCTAGTCTAAAAATGGATCAACAACATTCCAGTGGTGATCCTACAGCAGGCCACCTGTCACCGAAACCGAATGTGTTTGCACAGACTGTGAGTCTTTAAAGGGGTCATAGGATGCCAATTTTCCACAAGTTGATATGATTCTTTAGGGTCTTAATGAAAAGTCTGTAACATAGTTTGGTTAAAATTTCTCAATGTTAGTTTAAAAAACACCTTTTTTACCCTGTCAAAAACAGCTCTTTTCAGATCAAGCCGTTTTTGTAGCATTTTCCTTTAAATGTTAATGAGCTATGCTGACCCCGCCCCTCTCTTCCGAGCTGCTCTCAGAGAGACTGTTTACTTTAGCCGCATGCATCGTGAAACTTGCTAATTAGCACATTATTAGGAAAGGGTGTTTGCAAAGATTCATTACAAATCATTATACTCACTTCTTCTGTAGATGAGGCTGGATCATGAATGATTCGCTCGAACATAGACGCATTTATGTGTCTGTGTGACGTCACACAGACAGGCATCTGAGATCGGCTCGATTTGAAAAAGGGGAAAACATTTAACTAGATTAAAAAAAAAATACTGGATGGATTTTTATCATTATAGGGTGGCTGTGTACACACACTGCCAACACACATGTACAACTTGTAAAAGTGCATGTAGCATCCTATGACCCCTTCAAGGCAAAAGTCAGATCTGTTGGAAGCCGTCAGTGCTGGCTGACATGAGTTTGAAAAGAGAGTTGGATTGTCATGTTTTCATCAGGTTTTTTTTTTTTTTTTTTTCTACTATACAAGCTCTAGGATGTATTGAAAATGCCCAGCAGATGGAGCCAAAAGATAACTCAAGGATTTTAACTAGGAGACAACAGAGCAACGCCAGGATGGGCAGCAGCTTTTCACATATTTAACCATATTTACTCTAAAAATTGGGATTAGTCTTAAATTGTGTATTTTAGATAATGTGATTCTGAATTCACTGATAAGTAAAATAAATAAATAAGCGCTGCTATATCTGGTTTTATTTGTATTTTAGTCAAATTTTCATTCTTGTTACTTTACTAAGTACTTAAAAGCCGACAAGAGCTGATTAATGGCTATTAGTTAGTAAAACTGGGTGTCATCAACAATTGGAATACATATTGGAAATAAATAGTCATCTGAACCACATATTTGCAATTGGTTACCAGTAACAAGCTACTTGGAACTATTGGGATGCGGAATAAGGAATAAACACAAATTAATAATTTATTTTGGAGTAAACAATGATATCAAGAGATACTAGTCAATAATTGATTACTTTCTAGTAATAAGTACTAGTAAAATAGATAGGCCTACTAGTTTAATTCCTAGTTACTTACTATAGTAAGCTATTGTTCAGCTACTGTCTTTCACTCGCGCATCTTTATTTATTTATTTCTCCCTACTCCCTCCCCCTTCAAACTCGGATGAATGACTTCACTTTTCTTTCTGGGTTTCCTTTATGGTCTCGGGATCTCCCTGTATTTCTCACAAGAGCTCATCTGCAGGCGGACGCATCCCTCCTCTCTCCGGTACAACCGACGGTTCGGTTAGGAGAGCAGCACGACTGGACCTGCTGATAGTTGTTCCAGGGTCTTAGCTGGACTGTATTTTCCGACACTGAGTAAAAAAAGTAGTAGTTTAGAAAGACTTTATCCATAACTACCTACAAATAATATTCGCTTTTCCCCACGACCTTAAGCTGGGAACTTGAGTATAGCCATGTCCGAAGTGCTGCCATACAACGAGGGGAAGATGAACGGCTACGGGGCGGACAGTGATGTCAGTCAGCTCTCCTTCAGCTGTCGACTGCAAGACACGAACTCGTTCTTCGGAACATCACAGTCCAAAAGGCCACCGAAACTCGGGCAGATTGGCAGGGCAAAACACGGTAGGTATCAAGCGGGTTAATAACTTAAAAAAATAAATGTGTACTATATGCAATCACCATAACGTATCAAAATTGAACTTACATGTAACGATGACTAATAAACATGACAAACAGTGCACAAGGTTACGCACACAAACACAAATTAACATCAGGTAAACACATGAGACAAAAACAGTAATAGTAATACAAAAAAAAAAAGCATAAATATGAATATGAAGAAATAAATCTGAAGAAACTGTAAAATATACGCTTTAAAAAAGAAGAAAATTAAATCTGATGCAACATGGAGAGAACTCTTGGAATATACAAATAAGCAATATGAATTTACAGTAAACATACATGCATTGTCTTTTGTGTATTTTGTCTATATCATTATTTTTCCATTAAAATTATGGTTTTCATAGTGTACATACATTTAAAACAAAAAAAAAAAACAGCTCTTGATAGCACATCCGAAGTGCTGCCATACAACGAGGGGAAGATGAACGGCTACGGGGCGGACAGTGATGTCAGTCAGCTCTCCTTCAGCTGTCGACTGCAAGACACGAACTCGTTCTTCGGAACATCACAGTCCAAAAGGCCACCGAAACTCGGGCAGATTGGCAGGGCAAAACACGGTAGGTATCAAGCGGGTTAATAACTTAAAAAAATAAATGTGTACTATATGCAATCACCATAACGTATCAAAATTGAACTTACATGTAACGATGACTAATAAACATGACAAACAGTGCACAAGGTTACGCACACAAACACAAATTAACATCAGGTAAACACATGAGACAAAAACAGTAATAGTAATACAAAAAAAAAAAGCATAAATATGAATATGAAGAAATAAATCTGAAGAAACTGTAAAATATACGCTTTAAAAAAGAAGAAAATTAAATCTGATGCAACATGGAGAGAACTCTTGGAATATACAAATAAGCAATATGAATTTACAGTAAACATACATGCATTGTCTTTTGTGTATTTTGTCTATATCATTATTTTTCCATTAAAATTATGGTTTTCATAGTGTACCATACATTTAAAACAAAAAAAAAAACAGCTCTTGATAGCACATTTTCCTGCTGACACAAATAGATAAATGCCATTTTTCTTGCCTTTATGCATGCTATTTAAAAGCTCTAAACATCTGTGTCCTCTCTCCACAGTGGTCATTGAAGATGACAGAATAGACGAAGTTCTCAAAGGGATGACAGACAAGTCATCTCCCGGCATGTAAACTTGAACGATTATACCTCGTCAACCTTTTCTTTTAATCACCGGTTTGAAGCACTCGTCGCCTGTGCATGTGAACGAGAGGTGAAGATGATGGTTCAGTGTACGAGTACAGGACAAAGGATGAAGAGCCACTCTGGACAATGGGTTAAAATAGCGACATTTGAAGATGCTGGCAATTCTCCAACTGAAACCCATCCCAAACCGCTGCTGTGAAGAAAGCCTCCCAAGATTTCTGGTCATTTAGCCCCTCGTCTCGTAGACGCCGTGGGTCTGGGTGTGAGATTTCATCACGACATCAACAAACAGAAGCCCCTGTTTCATAGGCATCTATGAGCTGCTCGTTCAAGGGAGCTGTCCAGTTCAGCACCTGACGCACAACTTGACTGTCTTTCCAGAGAAATAAGCTATATTTATATCTTGCATGGAAATGGGATGATGTATGTAATCGAGGGAAGATTAATTACATGTTTTATTCACTTCCTTCACATCTACATCCATTCCATTTTCAATCCTTGACTGATCATATGCCCAAAATACATTTTATAGCCAACAAAGCCACTCAACGCCAGCAAGGAAGATCTGAAGAATCAGCAATGGAGGGAAAATGAGAAGGAGTACTTCTTGTTTGATTTATTGCGTCTTTTCTATGACTGTTTATTTGTTTGGCGTCGTGTATAGATTAATATATACGGTTCTCTTTGCATGAACTTCTCTCTTGTGCCATTGCGGGTGTTTCCACCTCTTTTAAAAATGTGTTTTTACCGAAATCATTTGTATTTTTTATATTTGAATATTTGTTACTCAGAACAATATTAATAGTTCATCGACACGCACAGCGTATGTGAGGGTACAGAGGCATAAAACATAATCATAAAGGACAGACTGAATGTTATTTTGGGGAGGGTGTTTCACACATCAGCATTAACACGCTTTCTGTTGCAATAAGTGATCATGCCTTTGTTGATAATGAAATGGTTTTGAAATATAATTTCAGAGTATGTTCAACAGCACTCTCACTGTAATTACATCAGTTTTTTTTTTAGCATCTCAATTGATTATTTATTTGTTTGTTTGTTTTTGTATTATTTTAAAATGTTCAGTGTGTGGTTTATTGTGCATGGAATATTTTTCAAGCTTATGACCAATTTATGAAGCAAAACATTGTACACAAATGTCTCTACATTCTACAAATGAATGAATAAATGAATTCAGATGATTGATTCATCATGAGGTTTCTTTCTTTATTTTTTAACTTAAATAACTGGGAAAAAATGAGAACATAGATCCATAAATTACTAGCAATAACAAATACTGAGAAAAATAAAAAGAGTGAACTGCAGATCATGGACAATCCTTTAATTTGGATATAATCTGGTGAATTTAAGGGGTCTCTGATGCTCTTAATGCAGGAATGAGACTGAATGGGATAAATGTAGCTGTTTTCAGAAATTAGAGTGAGTGTTACCCCCTCAGCCAAGCTGACAGCATGAGGACTAATCAGCAAACAAATAAATTTAACAGCTCACCCAGTCTGCCAAGCACACTGTGGCGCATGCGCTCTGGGCATGCAAACCTTCAGCTGGTTTAAATAAACTTGCAGATAAAAATACATTACTGTACCAACTAGTAGTTACTCATATAAATAGCTATTCTCTATTCAAACCAACACAATTACTGTATGTAACCAGATAATTATCAACTTAATGAAACTGCTTCCATCAGGGACGACTATATCTATAATATCCAAGTTTAGGTGGAGTTGTTTTACATGGTATTGTCTAATCTGTTCTTCTCAGGTGAGTGACAAATCACTCATGACAGAATCGGCTGCTTAGTACACTGCACAGTACACACTGCTAAATCACCCGTCCTTCTCCCTTGTGTTACCATAATTCCACTCAACTGAAACACACATCCATACACCACTTGGAGATAAACACGACTTTAAACAACTAGAGCACATAAGCCATTATTGAGTGCTCTTTTCACCAGGCTTAAACAAACAAACAACAGGAACAGGAAGGTGACGTTTGTTTTGGAGCAAAAAGTGTGTCCAAATTGACCAGCTTGACAACAGGGCAGATATTTGTTTAGTAATTTCTCAGTTTTCAAGTGAACATCTTTGCTTTAGGTGATTGCAACAAAATAGTATTATAAAATATTATTAGCAAAAGCCTGCAAAAAGGCCTAATATTACCTAATTTGATGATGCTGAGTTCAAAAATATCAGTAATAACTTTATAACACATACAGACAGTTTAAAAGAAGAAGAAGATATTTCATTATTTTTTTCCTCACAAAACAAATAGTTTTAACCTGACTCAGACGAAGATAGCAATCATGCCTTTGTGGCAGTTTTTATGATTTCTTCATTTTACAAATGGTTTTTGAAATCAAAAATGCTACAAAATGCACATCATATGTAATAAGTAAGTGTGTCATGCTAGAGCAATGTCACTATTTATGGAATCAGTGCCAAAAAATTAGTAAGAAACAAGTATTGGATTTCAGAAAATGTGATGCAGGCTGGTTACTGCAGAAAATAATTAAATAAATGAAAAAAAAAATTGTATATACTGTATATCAGGGTTTAAAATGAACACTTCTTTAAATAGACTGCATCAGTGATTTACATATTTATGCATAATTCCATTTAGCAGTTCAAATGTGCTTTCATCTGTATTACAACCACAAATCCTGACCCAAGAACGTTCAATTTCAGTTCAAATGTTTTATTTGCTGTATCAGTTTTCATGATGACCCAAACCAATGCCTCCTATAGGAGGTGTGTAATGGGCCATGAAGTAGTGCCTCGAATAGCACAGAAGAATCGAAACAACTCTCAAGCTCCTATTCTTATCGAGCTATAAAATAGACACAAATTAGATTTCAGCAGAGAATTAAAAATGAATGATTTCTGGTTTATTAATGCAGGACTCGGAAGAGTTTGCGTTCTGCTGCGGCACAGTGTGGTGTTTGATGTTTCTTTGCAACAAATCCAGAGGAGAGGCATCAGACCACGACAGGAGCTCCAGGAGGCAGGACACCCAGCACTCGCTGCAGGGACGATCTGCATGTGGTGCACCTCTCTGCTGACTCATATACACACACACACACACACACACACACACACACACACACACACACACACACACCAACATATC